TGGTTTTTGGGCTTTGGACCTGGACCGGCCGCCCCCCTTGCCCTTCGAGATCGGAGGGGTCCGGTGAAACCCCTCAAGACTTACCTTGGCAGAAACCAACGATCTTGAACCCCCTCGCGCGAATGGTAGAAGAAAGCCTGGTCGGACCACTTTCAAATTCCGAGAGATTGTTTTTGGCTCGATGGTTACGCCCTCCGTACCTGGTTGCATTTCTTTGGAGGTTGAGGACGTGTGAGGAGGTGTATCCGGAGAGATGCGGGGAGATGCGGGGAGATGCGGGGAGATGCGGGGAGGTACCCCCGCCGCATCTAGGCTCCCCCGCCATGTCTCCCCCACATCTCCCCCGCCGCATCTAGGCTCCCCCGCCACGCCGCGCGCAGAGGCGCCCGCGACGTACACGGCGGCGGTGTGGCCGGTGTGGATGTGGTTCCCTTCGACGAGCGGGCTGCCGTCGTCGCCGATCGAGACGCCGATGCCGGTGTTCGCGTAGATCTCGTTGTCCTTGAGGGTGAAGCGAACCTCCTCCGACTCGAGGTGCGTGCCTCCGCAACAGGCAACAACACCTCGTGAGCTGTCCACTAGTCATCATTGATGAGTGAGCTCTCCTCCCGAGGCGCGCGCCTCCGCCGCCGTGGCAGTAGACGCCGCCGTACGCCGACGAGTGGATCTTGTTGCGCTCGATGAGCGGGAAGGCGTTGCGCTTGACCTCGATGTTCCACGAGCGGTGCGAGTGGATCTCGTTGCCGACGTAATGGCCCTTGCCAAACTCGTACACCAGCAGGCCGACGGTGCGACCGCCCCAGACCGAGTTCCCCTTGAGGACGGGGTTGCCGTGGTCCCAGACTCGCACCGCCGCCTTCCCGTTCTCGCGCATCTCGTTGCCCTCGTACGTCCCTCCGCCGCCCTTGTGCACCCACACGCCGCCGAGCTTGTGGCGGTGCAGCGTGTTGCCGCGCACGACCGGCGCAGCGTCGTCGACCGCCTCGACGCCAACGGTGTTCCGGAAGATGTCGTTCTCGAGGAGGGTCGGCGCCCCGCCGTCCTGCACGAAGACGCCGGTGCGGCGGTTGTTGTGCACGCGGTTGGCCTGCAGCAGCGGCGCCGCGTCCTGCCCCACAACCACCCCGTGGTGGAAGGAGTCGCGGATGTCGTTGTCCGTGAGCGTGCCTGCGAAGGGGCAAGGGTGAATGGCGCCGGAGACTGCGGGCCAGTGGCGCTCTCACGCCGGCGGCGGTGAGCGCGCCTCTGCCCGACGAGTGCACCCAGACACACGCAACCTCGACCGCGCTCGGCTTGGAGTGCCCCTCCTTGACCTCCTCCCGCCGCTGCTCGCGCAGCGTGTTGCGCAGCAGCGTCGGGTCCGACGACTCGACGATCTGCACGCCCGCGTCCATGTTGTTGTACACCTCGTTCCCCTCCATCGTCCCCATGCCGCCGTCAAAGTAGAGCACGCCCGACTGCAGCCCGTCGTAGACCACGTTGCGCCGCAGCGTCGGCGCGGCGCCCGACTCGACCGCCACGCCCGCCTGCGCGTTGGCGTAGATTGCGTTGCCCTCGAGCATCCCCCCCCCGCCCAGCAGCGCGTGCACGCCCGAGTCGGCGCCTGAGGGACGTGTCGTGGGCGTGTCGTGGGCGTGTCGTGGACGTGTCGCGCACATTGAGGGCGGAAGAAGGAGAGGGGGGGGGGAGGGGAGGGAGGGGAGGGGAGGAAGGAGAGGGGCAGGAAAGGAGAGAGGGACTGAGGGACAGGGAAGGAAGGGGACGGGATGTCGACGGGAGGGGAGGGCGAGACAGGGGAGGAAGGATATGGAAATAGGGAGATGGTAGGAAAGTAAAGAGGCTGAGG